TCAACACATTCTCCTTTCTGATTATGGCAGATTGATAGATAGATGGCTTGTGTAAGTGAGTCAGATTCATGCACCAAACTAAAGGAAAGTGCTTGAAAAGGAAAAATTACATTTTTTTTTAGACTAATTGCATCTTGCACTATTATTTGGGTAAAAGCATTGCATTCTGGGAGGGGAGACAATGCATGACTGAGCCCGCTCGCTTCTGCATTATCCTGTGGCCCCAGCTCCAAGGCCAGATGGAAGTTGACAGAGCATGGGACAGCTGCAAGGCTCATTGCTATGTGGTAAATGCGTGCTGAAATAGCCAAATTAATGGAAGGGGCTCAAGTCCAAACTGGAGTTCAATATGAGGCTACATTTTAGTGCTATGAGCTGTCAGTCCAGACAGTCAGACATCAATATTTACCGCTGCCATGGCACAGCAACATGCAAAAAAAAAAAAGGTTGCAGTGACAGCCATTTTTGTACCTCTCACTTCAAAGGATGATTTTGTGGCAATTTCAGGAAATCCCTTTTTTTTTGTGGCACATTGAATCACCACCATGTTTCTTAGTTAGAAATACTGGGAGGGGATGTTCACCACTCAGTGAATGTGTCACTGCTGTTGTAAAAGTCTGGTGCATGAACGACTCTCGCTGATAAAAATTTAAAACGTTTAGAAGTAACAGGAAAAAAAAAATGTTGCGTTATAGAGATGTTGTGTCTAATTTAATCATGTACAGTTGTTGCAATAACAAGATTGGAGTATTTTTGAGTATCTTGGGACATTTCGCAGGAAAATGGCGAGATAGAACAAACTATTTATGGATCCTCGCACAAGGATATAAAAGGTAAGACCTGTTGCCTTGAATCATATTTCTCCTGACTTGCAGATTCAGGGGCCTCACGGTTGCTTTTCAGGGAAGACACTTTTCTGCCTCTTGAGCTGAAAAGAGTTTTCCCTGTGTTGCCACGGCGACCGCGCTTCTGTGTACCTCACAAAACCTTTTTGCGCCCTCACGGCCTCTCCGCCTCCCAGTTTCAGCGGATCTTCTCCTTCTGCTCAGGGAAACTTCAATTACCGACAACACTTCTTCAACCACCGCAAGGCCTATTATGGTCAAATGAGACGCTATGGCCGGCCGGGAGCAGCATCTCCTCCCCTGTAAATCTGAGAGCGTTGTCTCATGCTCAGGGTGCTGTGACAAGACAAGGTCAAGAGGTCGCGCCTCCAGGTGATGTGTTTCCATAAGGCTGTGGAGAGGAACTGCACATATATGGTGTGGTCTTTATTTATTGCCAGCTCTTTTACTGGATGACTGCAGACTCTCTTCCTTCTGCAAGCTCTGCACCTCTTCTAAAGCAACGAAGCTCGATGTTTGCCTCTTTACAAAAAATGTGGGATTTAAGACGGGATGGGAATCTTAGATCTTCTAAGAACGTTATGATTTCATCTACCATATGTAAACAGAATAAGTTATAATGTGACTGTGTTGAGTTTTCAGTCCTCAGTAGAACTTGCGCTGAAATACCTCTGGCCAAAGCAGTAATGTGAGAGCATTTAACTTCAAATGGCTGAGCGGTCTGGACATTGTAAGGTGAACTTGACAGTTAGCAACACAAAAGGATTGTATGCTTTAGCAGGCTGCCGAACAGAGCAGGAAATCAGGGACGATTCAGCAGCCTTAACATGTTTCCTATGCAGACGGTGGCGGGGGGGCCCCAAGTGACCCCGTAACACAAACATGGATTTATCTGAGAGCTTATCATCCAGCCTGGGGTCTCCACACAGTGCTTCCTCTGTCTGCCTGACTCTAGTGTAGATATTGGCACTCTTCAGTCCATAGCTACATCCCTAAAAATTTATCTGTTGGCGAATAAACTCCTTGACTTGTCACGCATTTAAACTGAAAGGGAAAGGACAACAAAAAGAAAATAGAGAGTGTTCTGAAGAAAGGAACAGATTTGGCTCTGGACTTGGTTCTTCAAATAATGACTGTTGAATGGAGCTGGATCCATTTGTCACTATAAGAGCATTAGGGGAAAAGTCCACACACCAACATTATGTCTTCATTCATTTCAACTCTCACCTTTTCTTATTACTCTGCGCCCACTTTACACCTGATGGAAAGCAGCCTCATGAATTTCGAAACTATTTTAAAGCTGCACTGCACAATATATTTGAATTAAGAATCGCTTCTTGTTGTGAGAAGGTTCGCTCAAGGTGAAGGACAAACAGAGAGTTGATTGCAGCTTGCCGCAGCTTTACGGAGCATTTATCTTTCATCTTTTAACACAGTGTTTTGGCTCTATGGCCCTGAACTTCATGGTATTGGTTCACTGTTTTCAGCTAAAAAGCTCTGATAAATCAACTGTATACTACCTGCCCAGCACCAATCAGCAGACAGACAAAGTTAGCGATGAGCTAGTATACATAGTCACACATTAACTGGTAAAGGACCATATATTTCCTATTAGAAGTTAGTAGAGACCAAAACAAGGTCACATAAAGAGTGGGCAGAGACACAGCTCCAAAGGTTGTACTTGATGTATCATTAGCTAACTGTTAGCTAACATGTTAGCCCTACCAACTTTATAAGGTGATAAATGGTCTTATAATACAGGGGTGATAAAATGTCATTATTAGGTTCAGCTTGTTCGGCTGTCCCCAAGTGGCCAAACAGTCAATTAATGCTACTTTAAAAAAGTAAAAGCAGGTAAAGGCTTTAAGTGTTTGTAGGTCTGTGCTGTAAAAAAAAAGGCAGGTAACACCAGGGAAGAACATGGTAAAAGTTTAAATCTATGCTCTGAAGGTCCATGCACACCACAATGGTCTGAATGTCTCTGCAGAACCAGAGACTTGGAAGCAGCAAAATCCATTATCCATCTAGAACGGCTCATCGGCAGGCAGCCCCGAGGGGAGTATGCATTCCCCCTGACAATAAAAGAAGCCAGGTGCCTGTTCAGCCATGGCCGACACTGTAAACACCATTCCTGCTGCAGTAAATGTCAGGCATAGGTAGGCACTGCACACCGCACACGACTCACGTCACTGTATACAGATTCCCAAGATGCTATCTATCTTCCGTCCTTCTCTGACCCAAGAATGGCCCTGCTTCTTCCCTCCTTTAAGGGTAAGATTGCGCCTTGAGGCTGACACTTTTTCTCTCGTCTCCAGCGTCGGACTGCAGGATGTGTGTACTTGAAAGTCTTGATAAGTGTCCCTTGCAAGGCTCTAAAGAAGGCGCCTGGTCCAGTTTTTTTCACTCTCACATCAGCTGAGTCAATCACCACAAAGATTTGTTTTTGTCAACTGCACATCCATGGTGAATCATGAGAAAGCAGGGGAGGCTCTAGTTTCCTCCCACAAACTGCAGGGTCTAGTTTGGTCACATCAACATTGTCCAACATTGTGGTTAGATCAAAGACTGTCTCTTGTGTAGGACTATGGTTTGATATTTGGTGTCCAAACATATTCCCACTTCACCATGTCATTTCCCATTCCCACACCCCTGACCCTCAGCTCCTCAGCCCCCAAGCAGCACTGAACCACATGATCTCTGTGGTTTGACTCACCACACGCTTAAAAATTAGGTTTGATGAAACCAAGCTGCAGTGAGTTTGTGTAGTTTGATGTAAGCTGTCAGACGTTAATGCTGGGCAAATTAATGCTCCGCAGTGATCTCTGCCAGACAGCCTCTGGTTGATGATACAACCTTGCCCCCAGCTGAGACAGCAATGATGTCACACTTAAAACTGTGTTATTCGTTTTAGCAACACCAGAGGGTGCTGCTGTTTAGGGATTGAGAAAAGTGGATGATGAGAAGACATGTTTAAACTAAAAGTTCAATCTTACATTACCAAATTATTATCAGTTCATAAACTGGTTGTAGCTTATCACAATTTCTTGAAGCATCCATGTAAGATTCCTAAAAAAAATCTGTGCTACTGTATTCTGACTCTTCCCTTTTAGTTGGCCGCAGAACAGTGCTGCTGCTTCTTCTGGTTTTTATTGTTTAGACAGCTTCTTTTCCTCCTCTGAACATACAATCTATCTTTCTCAGGAGTTAAAAGAAAAAACCCATTCACTACTGCACTTCCAGATGTTTCCACATTTTCACAAAGAAACAGAAAAGAAAACAGAAAACACTTGTTTCATCCTCACAGGACTTCCCCTAAGTGGAAGGCAGCTGTCATTAATGTTAATAAATACACCTGTGGCTGTGTTTATCCAGATATGACATATTAAAATGTCTTTCTTAAACAAAGGTCCATTGGCTAAATAAGCAACAGTCAACCTGTTTTCAGTTTCACGGTTTGATCACATTTTGTTTCATATAGATGATTTGGACATTTCAGGGCAATAGAGTCAGTATTTTAATGGAAGCTGTAACTAAAGTGTTTTACTCTAACCCCAAAGTAGCTTAAACTTTTTGATATAAGGTGGTATGACTGATATTGACACTGATGCATGGACATTAAGGCTACATCCAAGAAACTACATTCGAAACCCACATTAACTACAGTCCAAAACCTTTAATTGAACATGTTTCAGTCAAGTACAGAAGATTGTGTTAATACATTCATCTCATATTGGTTGTTTGAATCATTCCCCAACTTGTTTTATATTCTTAGAGAAAATCAAATAATGTTTTGTTTTTTTTTTGTTTTTTTTTTTAATACAAACTATATAAGCCGCACAAAAGTAAAGTAAGTAATACTACTGCATGGTAACCTCTAGTCTTTACAATAAGCTGTTCAAACTAACTCATATGCATACTAGTGTGTGCATCTTTTTGGGGAAAAGACGCATGTTGACCAATTTTCAGTACAACAGCGGTCGGAAAAGAGCCCGAGAAGTAGCTTCTAGTAATAAGATACACAACCTTCAACTTCTTCTATTGACAAGCGCTAGTTCAGATGGTTAGAGGTAAAATGGAAGTAAAGCGAGAGCCACTGTCGCAAACCCTACCACCAACCACGTCGGAAGTGTCGTGCAATACCCCTGATTTTGTGCTCGGGAACCCCCATCAGTCTTTTCGTACGGCAACCCAGCTGAAGACGGTATGCTCCTTTGCCTGATCCGATAAAATTGAATAAAATGCACTTATTCCCTGGTCTCTTATTTAACTATCTTGTCTTGTGTGTTATAGAAACATGCCAGCTAAAGGTCCCCTGCAATCTGTCCAGGTTTTTGGACGTAAAGTAAGTAAATATGTAGATCTTAATCCACATGTGCTGTTGCGGCTACACTGCCTTGTTAGCGCACATTAGCTAAAAGGAAGTGGTGGTGGGACGTTGTTTGACACCGATGCACCCCTGACATTTAACATATGTAAGCCAATATAGCTTTAAACTGTACTGGGAGTTTGTGTGAAGCGTTAATGTTGTCATACGTGATCTTAAAAAGCCTCTCTACGATGGTTGTTGCTTCCGCTACAACTTAGCTTCCTTAGCTATCCGGTTTGGTACAAATGGTTTCGTTTCAGTTTACCAAGTGCGGCACTGACGGCGGAAAAGTTAGCTCACGTCTCCTCACGTAATTAAACGTACGTTTCTTTTGTAATAGCAAAGGGAAATGACTTAAATCTATCACATGGTCATAGAAACTGCGAGTTGCAATCAACAGAAGTTGAAATTTCCGGCTAATCAGAGCGATGCTAGGAATTTTAGTGCGTATACATGTGTAAAAGATATGTGAATTATGTATTAAGAGAAATAATAAAGCACTTATTTCTGATGGTATCTGATGATGATGTTTCTGTCATAGAAAACCGCCACAGCAGTTGCCCACTGCAAGAGGGGGAATGGTCTGATCAAGGTGAATGGCAGACCCCTGGAGATGGTAGAGCCCGCCACTCTCCAGTACAAGGTGAGACCCCGTGAGAAAGATGGACATCAGGTTGCACATGTCTGCCAGGGAGGAGAGAGGCAGGGCAGTGCATGTATCATCTGTAATTGAATGAGGCAGTGCATGATGAGACGGTTGATACTTGTAACCAATAGTTTCTTAACATTAAAGTGGTGTCAAAGTGGAAAGTGACTGCCCCTCCATCTGGCACCACAAAAATCTGCTGTGGGCAATAATGTTAGATTATATTATGAATGGTTTTATTGCAGATGATAGCAGAGATTTAGCTGTGGTGCTAATAGGGTTTTTGTAATTTGCTAGTAGACACATCTGCATACTTTTGATACATTTTCTACCCTTTAATGTTGTTCAATAGACTTGAATCTGCTGTTATTCTGCTCGGCATAATGTTGACATCATTATGTTCCCTTGTAGCTTCTGGAGCCAGTTCTGCTTCTGGGCAAGGAGCGCTTTGCTGGAGTAGACATCAGAGTCAGAGTGAAGGGTGGCGGACATGTCGCACAGATCTACGGTAAGCAGGCCTTTCTTTTCTCACTCAAAGCAGTTTGTTTCTTTTATATTTATTAATCATGAGTATGTGATTTAAGATGTTTCAATCATACTTCAAATTGTTGTCTTCCAGCTATCCGTCAGTCCATCTCTAAAGCCCTCGTTGCATACTACCAGAAGTGTAAGTATTAGAATGGCACAACCCTAATCACTGTAAAGACAGTTAGATTATTTATGCTGGAGCATTACATCCAGGGGTTTGTCAGAAGGCATTCTGTAAATATTTCATCTAATTGACCTGTTTTGAGGTCCAAGGTCACAGAGTTGAGAAATGTCTTTTGGGAACTGGTTGATAGATGCATGCACATTAACTGGGGCTGCACATCCCAGATATCTGCCAGCTTCTCAAGACAGACACGAATAGCAACTAGAGCCAAATCTGGCATACTTACATTGGCAATACAACATAAAAGCTGTAGTTTGTTGTTGTTTGTTGTGCAAACTTTGCGTGTTTAGTGGCATAAATCCTCATGCACTGAACTGGCAGTGTCACTGACATACATTGTGGATTCTGCTTAATGATTCTTTTGTTTTAATTTTCTGTATTGTGAAAGATGACTTGACTGGTTGAAATGTATTATTGAATTGGAACGGTGATCACAGATTACTGATTGACTGCAAATTATGTGAGCAGAGCTGAATGTGATGCTAGTTAGGTGAAGTTTGTTAAGAACCCAAGACGACTGTCTAGTCCACACATTAATATTAAGCACAAGGTGTAAGGTGTCAGAGTAGCTGTCAGCTGCATACAATGTAATCTTATGTAAAATGGTGATTTGCAGAGTTGATATGAAAGATACAGTCCGGGGATGATCTCAATAAGTTTAAATCAGTCCTATGATACTTCCTTGCTCCTCACATTGACTGTGAAGCTTATTTAAACAGTATGATTGAAAACAAACGAGAGGATCAGGGGCCGACTGAAGCATATTCAAATTCTTTGATGAATTTCAACCAGTTTTTTGGCAGAGAGCTTGATAAAAGTTGATTATATAAATAATACATATGCCATATTTTTTATGGTCTCAAGTATATAGAATGAAGCAACACTACAGACAGACATGCAGAATAACCTGTGTTGTCATCTTCCTGCAGATGTGGATGAAGCCTCTAAGAAGGAGATCAAGGACATCCTGATCCAGTACGACAGGACTCTGCTGGTTGCTGATCCAAGGCGCTGCGAGTCCAAGAAGTTCGGTGGACCTGGAGCTCGTGCCCGCTACCAGAAGTCCTACCGTTAATTCGCCTTTAAATTTTCATAATAAATTGGACGAACAAAGGATTTCATTTCATTTGTCGTTTTTTAATTGATATAACTGTACAGAAGATTTGCTTACAACCTCTGTCATAGTGTTTGAACAGGCAAGGGTGTTTGCATATTGAGTTGAAATTGCTGGATTGAACAAGTGCAATATATTTGGGAGTTATTTTTCTTAGTCACGAAGCTCAACAAAGACGTGCAGTTGACAGAAAACTACATATTTCTCTTGCATGGTGTTAGGAATCATCAGAAACAAGCAATGGCTTTTACAATGAAGTAAATTATAATGTCCACATATAACACTTAGTTCATTGCGGTTGTCAGTTATTGTTCGCCAATGGGCATTTTTGGGTGACTATGTTTTATAACTCCTAATTATTAGCAAAGTGAAAAGAAAAAGTTAAAAGGAGGCAAGCTGTCAAAACTGGGTGCTGGAACAAGGCCAAGGTAGCTGTTCTTTAACTGAACTTGACCTCTTGACTGTTGGATCAGGACAAATAAATTACATGTAGGAGATGAATAATAAGTTTTGCACATGACCGCCTGAAATAAACAGACAGATGGTCGCACCTAGCAAGAATTCAGTCACAGCAGTTAGCTTCATACAGTGTATGCTACTGATATACTGATATTTATATATATATATATATATATACTGATATTTATCAGTTGTGTACATCACTAAGAAACTGCACATTTAGCAAAACAACTACTAATTGTTCCACTTTCAATTTTTTTAAACTTCATGCTACATTTTCTTTGAATCCACTTGTTTTTATTGAACAAAAACATGACAAATAACCAGGAGACAAAAACAATAAACACATCAAACTTAACACATTAAGTCACACTAAAACAAACCAAATAAATAATGAACACAAACACATTAACATTAACATTACAAAATCAATCAGGCTTGACAACCTAAATAAGATACTAAAGGATAAATAAATCAACTAAATAAAACAGAAAATAAATCCTATTCTGCGTTACATTCAAAGACTTGTGTTTACATTTAAGTGTCTGTTATAATCATTTTTTTTACGTGTTTTTGTATTTTTGGCAGTTTAGTGATATTTTTTTTTAAAGAGAAGAACAGATGTTTAAAACAGATACAGCTCTTTTTCACAGGGGACATTTTGATTTGTCACAGCACAGGTGTTACTAATCACGGTAATGATGGCACTGAGCGCCTCCGTGAGCCGTGACAGTGAGTCAGCAGGAACGACACCAGGACCCAGAGACTGAAGCAGCGAAAAGAAACTCAGCTGTCATTCATTATATTATTTAAACCTTTTTACCACTGCGACATGACTGTGAAACAGGCTTATTTAATGCCTGTTTTTACTGTTGATGAAACAGCTTTTTACACTTTTACATTTCATTTTTACAAGCAGCTGCTTTCATGAAGGCAAGTTATTGCCACAGTCCACCAGCAGAGGGAGCCACGAGACAGCGGTGAAAAACCAATACAAAACACAATATTCCCTCACCAGCAGCCATTAGAAAATGTTCCACTGGCTTGTTGCCATTTCACAACGAGTCTCATAGTCAACACATTTATATGATTAATGAATACACCCGACTGCAATTCCTCACTCGTGTCCATTTTTGCCAAAATGCCTCTGAGCAAGGCATTTAAATTTACTGGCTTGGATGAATGATTTCACAGAAGGCTACACGAGCTGAATTCGCCTCAAAATCTCTGCAAACAACATAATGGATAGACAAACACTGATGCACATGTTGACTGTTGTTGGCTTTGTTATTAAAAATCAGATATGGTAACCAGCCAGCACGCTCCGCTGCTGGTTTGATGGATGCTTTTTCACTCACTGTGCCAGAATTTCACATTTCATTATTCTGTTTGTTGCATTCATTGTATTTTTCTTCAGCCTTTGCAACCCCGATAAGAATATCTTGTCTTATAGCACAGACAATTTACACTTATCAACTCTCAACACAAAAATAGCCTGTTCCCTCCAGGGGCTCGATTGCGTCCGGGTTCGCAGTCTTAAATCAAACTGCAGCTTTCTTTTCCTCATTTTCTGCTGATTCCTTGTTACTGTTTTTCCCTAACAGCGCTGATGCACAAACACACCACTCCACCACAACAACAGGGGCGTGATGAGGTGAGCTGAGCTGAGGCCCAGATGTTGTTGGCCTCTCTATGGGGCAGCCAGCAGCAGCCGTTCCCGCTCGGTGAGCTCCTGGGGGGGGATCAGGCCTGTTTACAGCCCTCCAATAATCAACACAGCAGGGAAGCCCACTCCCCACTGCTACTGTTGTTTACTGCTGTTTATTTTCTGCCCCTGCCTACCGCCTCACCTCTAAAGGCCATAATGCTACGCCGGTGACACTCTGCGCCTGTGGAAATGGCTGCGTTTTCTGCAGCAAGGAATAAGGGGTGACAACGGAGATGAGAATAATGCAGATAATAAATGTGGCGCGCTGCGGGGAACAGAGGCAGAAGGAGCAAAAAGCTGTGACAAAATTGTGTTTGTGATTTCTGTGATGGTAAAATTGTTCTCCATCTCTGTTTTCTCAAAATGATGTGTGTATATCACGGCTTGAACAAGCTGGGAATGGAAGAATAAACTGTCACAGTAGGAAAACATCTTTTTTTATATACAGTAAATTAAATCAGACAGTAAAAAAGACTTTGAAATTACAACCTGTATTTCAGAATAAATTACCAATTTAACTCTTTATATAGGAACAACTGTCTAATCATAAAGGGTTAATAACAACAAATGCCACATTAGCATGACTCCATCAGGTCGACCCCTCCAACAGACCATATGACCGCTGAGAGTTTACAATCCATTTATTAACCCTTAATTAACATTTATAACTGTAGATTTAGGAGAATGAAAAACCCTTTAACACTGACTTTTATAAAATTCATAATTGCAGATGATTTACCAACTTTTGCTGATATTGAACAGTGAGAAAGTTATGACCTTACATTAATGACTTATCAACATGTGTAACAGCAGAACTGAAGGTTTTCACCCTTTATTAATGACTTATTAACATTTATTACTGCAGACTTGATGGCTTATTTGTAAGTAAGTAACTTGTCGATTAGTTGTCACAGTAAAACAGATTATTCACAACCTTGCAACCTAAAAGTTGCTCTTGATAATCACTTATAACTGCACTATAGCACATTAATTAATGCTTTATTACCTGTTAATAAAGCTGTATAGATTGTTTGTAAAATGAGAAAAGTGCTACTAGCTAAAAGTTACTATTATTTTTGTGACGGTTCAGGAATGGCTGCAGAAAATGAAGGAAAACAAGTGCAGTTTCAGAGCAGAGCGTGGTTTCATGTAATTTGTAGTTCATCAAAGGATGTGTACGACATGTCGGCACCTGTGTTGCTTTGTTTTCCTCTCCACAAGCTGCTTCTTTGATTCAGGGACGCTGCCCGTTAACAGCTGATGGGCTGTGATGGTGAATTAAGTAAATTTGACCCACAACGCAAAGGTGTCGAAATTATTTTTTCACAAGTCTTGCAATTCTTTTTGGTGTTTCTATCATGATCTTGTGTGTGCAGGGTTTTATTCCTTAATGGTTGAACACACTTACACACACACACACACACACACACACACACACACACACACACACACACACACACACACACACATGCTGAACCTAGCACCTGCCTTTCCTCTGTTAACACCTCTGCCTCTCTAGGTCTCCACATCACACCAACACTGAGGTGTTAGGCCAGGATGCATTTTGTCATCACTTGCACTTCATCCCCACCTCTCCCCGTGACGCCTTCATGGACACCCACTCTGCCATTAACTCGTGAAAGCATATGAGGAATACACCCACGACCACATATATAAAAAGAGGCTTCCATCATGAGGTACATTCATGTTTTATTTCAGCCGCCTTTCTTCAGATGGAGGGATTCACCCACACTGACCACTGCTCTCCTCCTCTTCCTCCTCCTCCCTGCAGCGGTCTGCTCCTCGTCGAGCCTCATTGCCCTGGATGAGTAAACAACAATTGGTTGAAGGTGCCGGCGGCTGAGGATCAGGGGACAGTAGCAGGCAGCGACAAATGTTGGCTTCACTGGAGAGGAAAGGCAGTTTAGCCAAGCGACGCGCCGCTGTTTGGGCCGAGAGTGATAATGAGGGGCTAGCTGCTTATCTGTTGCATTGTCCTTGAGGGGAGGTGATTTCTATGAGCGTGTGTGTGTGTGTGTATGTGTGTGTCTGAAGGAAGAGGAATGTCTCAATCCAAACTAAGGCTGACTGTATTTAATTCTGATTTGCCAACATGATGTTTTGGCACCAATATCAAAATGATGAATATTGCAATACTGAAGGTTCAGGAAATAAACATCCCATTTGTTTTAACGTCAAAGCTGTGTGTTTAAACAACTATTTGATTAATAGGCAATCAACAGAGAATTGATATATAACAATTCCGATGACTGATGAACCATTTCAATTATTTCTAGAAAAAAAAAATCCAAACATTCGCTGCTTCCAGCTTCTCAACTCTGAGGATTTTCTGTTTTCTCTGTGTTATAAATATAAATGGAAACTGGAGATCAATATGGGTTATAATTTGGGTTCTGGACTGTTGGTCAGACAAAACAAGCAATTTGACCTTGGATTCTGGGGAGCTGTGATGGCCATTTTCCAGCTGCTTGCCTGGATTTTATTACCTCTGGACAGAGAATTAAACTAGCTGTTCCCCGTTGTTTCCAGTCTTTATGCTACGCTAAGCTAACAGCTCCAGCTGCATATTCACCGTACAGATGTGAGGAATGTAAGTTTAAAATACTTAACAATTCCTTTACAGGTCCCATATTGTACAAAGGTCGATGTCCATGTGTTTTTTTGATTATAGATCAGGTCTAGCTTCTATATTAATTCTGTGAAAGTATCAAAGCCTCAGTCCACAGAGAAATGCACACAGCCTGTATTCAGAAACTGAGCCTTAAAACGAGCCGTCATGACTTCTGTAACTTTGTGATGTCACAACAAAGCAGT